ATCCCGGTCGATTTTGTGAGACTGATCCATTGTTGGGCTTGTCCCATTTTTTTGACTGTTGCTGAAACTTATCATACCCTGGGGTCAACAAAACTTCGTGAGAACCGTGGAACCAGTATGTCAAACGTAATAGGTGAGCGGCGAATGGCGAATAGTGATCAGTTTTTTACCCCGAAATAGTAACTGTGCCACCAAAAAATAGTATCATGACGTGAAATAAAGGTTAACCTTGTAAATTTCGTGGAATCAATGTAACTATACGTAATAGTGCTTGGTTTAAATCAGTGACGGACCTCAGCACAGTAAACAGCCAATAGTAACTAATTCACGCATCAACCGCGAGTTAAACTGATTTACTAGTCATGAACACTAAAGTTTCGATTCTGCAACGGTCTTTCCGAGCGGGACACAACACCAATGGACTCGTCCTAATTTTCTCTCGTTTCGTGGTAAATATTTATTTTCAAAATAAATATCCACAGATCCGGGTACCTTGCGCTAATCTGAACCGGCTGGACCTGCCGAAAACCTTCGCTCTGATACCAATGTTAGGAAGTCAGCTCTGATACCAGTTGGGTTGGGCAGGTTGCCCAACGTCAATACAGCTCTGATACACTCGTTGGCCCTTTCAAATAAGCCATTAAGAGTAAAATTAAACGTCAGCGAAAAGAGTAAACTTGTGACATGCACAGAAATTACGATAGGTTTCACCCTCAATGTTTACAGCACTACGTCCAACAGGGACAAACTCCGATCATTCTTCTATTTAAAAGGGCCCTTTCAACCAATTAAGAGAAAATTAACGCAGCGAAATAGTAAACTTGTGACACACAGAAATTACGTGGTTCACCCTCAACTGTTTAGCACTACGTCCACGGGACAAACTCCGAATCATTCTTCTATTAAAAATAGTAGGTACACAAAGAGAGTAATACAAAAATAGTAAAACTCAAAATGTTTCCCAAAAACACTCTATAATAATTTCTCACTATTTTTCTCTCCCCTAATTCTAGGAAAACAATCCTAAAACTAATAACTCTCTTTTCGCTACATATTGTTTCTCTTTCTGCTGTGTGCTGAGATGAGCTGAGCCATCTCCTATTTATAGGAGAGGTGACACGGCTTCTCCATTTAAGTCATAATTTGGCTGCCAATCGTTGATTCCTTCTAAAAAATATGTGTTTATTTTTTTTCTTTTCAAATTTATTGTGGATCCCACGTGAGTGGGCACCGCACAACATTTGGAAGATCCTCGCAGTAGATATCAGACCTAGATAATACGTTTGCTTCTCGGGTTACTCAAAAATATGTGGATCTTAGTATCATGATGATCCTCCAGGTGGAGTTGGTGGTGGCATATTTACTTGAATTGATCTCAAGTATTGTACTTTCGATGATTACGAGGAGTTAAAAAGAGTCTGCGTGCCTTTCTGGTTTTTAATATTTTTTACTTTTGATTTTATTTTTTGGTATTAAAAGATATTGAATATGTTTTAATGCCATATAATTGTCAATTAAAAAAAAATCATATAATTCCTTTAAAAAAATGCCATATAATGATGACATATAAAAGGAAAGGAAGAAAATGATGATGTTGTGGGTAACTATGAATATTTCTTTTCGTGTAAAATTAATAAAAAAGAATATTACTTTTGTTCTGTAATAGTTATCACATTTTGAAATTTTACACTCTTTACGAAGATCATTAAATTTGTCCAAGTTATAATAAATCACTGAATAAATTCATTATATTATCTTTAATTTAATATTATTTTCTAAGAAAACTATTAAATTAAAATTAATAATTATTGGTCATATATAAAGAGCAAATATGAAAAAAAATATTTATTACTTCTTCAAACAAAAAATGTGATAATTATTTTGAAACGAGCGGAGGTAGTATCACTTTTTGCCAGCACGCGGACAATAGAAAAACTTCCACCAGATTTAATAGTCAGAAAATTTTTCTCCCGCTGCCGGCGAAGCCTCTTTTGCGTTTTAGATGCGTTTCTAAATAATTAGGCAGTCTGATCGACGGTCCAGATTTCATCAATGAGCATCTTGACAGATCCATGGAAACCAAAACGAACCGCAAACTGATTATCCGAGAAATAAGCCTACCCCGGAGATATTTTCCCGAGGATATTTATGCCTCCAATTTTGATGAGGAACCCTGCCTAGCCCAAAAGCTCAATAACCCATTAAAAGGAAAATTCAACACCTCAATCTATGGTTCTTGTAATGGCTTACTTTTATGACTCGGTAATAAAGGACTTGCTCTGTGGAACCCATTCACCAGGCAATCTTAGAAGCTACCCGTTTGTGGAGTGGAAAGATGTGTATTTGGATTAGGATACAACTCTGCTAGTAATGACTACAAAGTTGTGACTATTTCCGTGAATTCTGAAGTTTGGGTTCCTGGTTTGAAATCCAATTCTTGGAGAAAGCTTCCGGATTTACCTTATACTCTGATGTCATACGTTCATGTTGAAGGATTTTCGCCAACGGTGCCTTGCACTGCTTATTTATTATATAAACAGATAAGTATAGGAAAATTATTGCTTTTGATCTAGCTAATGAGACATTTTTCCTAGTACCACAACCTGTTCTCAGGTATCTTACCTTTTTGGATGTTTTAGAAGGTTGCCTCTGTATCAGCAATGTCACTTATGTTTTGAATAAGGAATACTCGCAACTGTTTGAGTTGTATGTTAGAGAAAATCATGGAATTAGGTTTACTTGGAGAAAATTATATGCGTATTTGAGATAACAGATTTCTGATTTTGTGCAAACTTTTAACCCAAGACATCATATTCTTCACATTAGTGAAAAGATCAATTAGAGTACACATAGTTGGCCAAAAATACCTTTTCACGGTAGACATTCATGATAGTTAAACATAAAAGACTACCAATATATGCTAATCTAATCAACACAACTTAAACATAAAGTACTTATAAACTTTATGCTGGCATGAATTCCTCAAAATTGATGGTCTACCCTGATTCATGCTCTTTCTTCTCTTTGTCCACTTTGAACCTTAATGCCAATTCATTCAATTCTCTTGACAAGAAAGATTAATTTTACCAATTGTCAGTTGGTCCAGTGGGATAGGGCGTTAAATTCTTAAAACAACATTCAGAGTTTAAATTTAAGCATTGTGAACGGAGAAAGCTGATTTGGGAGGATCGCTCCTATTACAGATCTCTGCAGAACCCGAATTCGAATTAATTGATTGTGTTGGATACCGGGTGATTTAACCAAAAAAAAAAAATCCAAACACAGTTAGCATTACTATATGAAATCTTTAGCACAAAAGTGCCAAAGAGAATCTATATTTTGGATATCCACTTTCAGAGATGTATTCTTGATACCTTACACATTACATATACTAGCCAGTCACATGGAACATCAGTTAACATTCACAATCTTATGCATCCCAACAGAGTATTAAAGCAGTTCAACAAGCATGGGTGGACACAGCAGCGCAAATAGTTGGAGAGGGCCAAACATATAACAAATATAACAATGAATAATGAAAGAGTTATATGGGGAACATTAGAGCGGTTGGTCTTAGTTGGCCGAGCCAGATATTAATTAGGAGAAAACATATATTTGGTTGATTATGGATTAGTCCATGTATAATTGTAAATAGGCTCTCAGTAAATTATATACGAGTCCCTAATAAATTAATATCTTTTTTACCATTTTGCTAATACTTATTTAAAAATAATAATTTTCAATTAAATATTATTTTATAAATTTTAATTTATATTTTTAGTTATATATTACGTTAAAATAAAAAAAACATATTCACCCTAAAATAAAAAAATATATATATCATTTTTCATGTTAAATAACAAAAACATATTCACCCTAAAATAAAAAAATTTTTGAATTGTATATTGTTTAGTTATGATATTACGTTAAAATAAAAAAACATATTCACCGCTAAATAAAAAGAATATAGTATATCATTTTCGCATGTTAAGTAACAAAAACATATTCAACCCTAGAAATAAATAAATAAATAAATAAATATATTATAATATATATATATATATTATAGTATATATATTATATATATAAATCATTTTTCATGTTAATAACAACGCGTTAATCAAAAATCTTTAGCCGAATACGAAAAACATATTCACCCTAAAATAAAAAAATATATATATCATTTTTCATGTTAAATAACAACCGTTATCAAAAATCTTTAGCCGAATACCAACATTTTTTTAGCTAACAGCTATCAACTAGTATAAACAATTAAAACAAAGAAGTTATAAGACATGAATTACATTTGATTTATCTGATTCATATAATTGATAGTTGATTCATATTTAAAAACTAGGTTATTGGTATTAGCTAATAGAATTTTCAATCAGCCATTGATTGCATCAGTTATGTTTTAGAGTTTTTTTTTTTTCACCCGATAGTTTATTTCTATTTGAACTGTTTGGTCTTTACACTGGTGTGAGTAGTAGAAAGTCTCGAGTCAACGAGTGTTACTCCTTATTATGTAGTTGATTGTATTATTTCAACATGTTAGGCCTCCTAAAATAAGAAAAAAAAAAGATACCAATAATTTTTCTTTCAAATTAATACTTTGCCGTAGAATTTTAAGCGGAACGTGCAATCAAATTTGAAAAATATAAGTACAACGAGAATTAGTTCAATGCATACTCTATACTTTATGTAAAAAATTCATACATTCTCAACTTTTATTTTTGACTACACTTTAATTTATAAAATTATTTTCATTAAACACTTTAACTTGTAAAAACTATTCTATTAAGCACTTGGACTTGCAAAAATTAGAAACTTTTGAGATATAATAGGTCCCTCGTAAAAGTACAAGGCGCTACAATTTTTTCCATAGAGTATTAAAGGATAAATTTAAGCATTAAACAAATGAATTTTCATTTTTTATGCATAAGGACTAAAATACAAAATCATGGGACAACTGTATATCAAACTAACCCATAGAGGGATAACTTAATTACGAATACCTTATTGTTTTAAAATTAAAATGTTTGAAAACTTAGCTAATCCAATACATTAAAAATATTGATAAAAGGTATATATTTGTACACAGTCAACACCTCTTAAAACACAGAATGTTAAAAATGGGAGAACAACATTCACAATATCAAATAAAATGAAATTATAATATATGCTTTATACATGCTCTATACCAAAGCCAAAACCCACCAATTTATATAACTACTGCCAATCTTTTATGTGAGGTCATTCTCATCCAATTCTTCTTCTTCCTCTTTTGTAGCATCAGTTTTGAATGCGGTAACGTCCCCCGTTGGAAGTTTTCTTGCAATCTTAATTATCTGCAGCCAAGTTATTTTACGTTAAACAAATGTAATTAAATTATTAGTACTTATAGTTACTAGTCAGTTCAGCCATAGTAACTTAGTTTCATAACAATGGACATCAAGAAAACTTCCCATCAAGGGTAAATCATAACAATGGACATCAAACTTTGTACTTAGTTTCATTTCATTAAGGCTGATTTTTTAATCAATACACTTTGATTTGTGCTTCAATGGGAGGTCACCGAACGGTCACCAAAATGGTAACATATGACGTTAACAATGACATCTTTTACACACACAAAAAAAAAAAGTGATTATAGAGGAATAAAGGATTCATATAGCTGACTCCAACTGTTTTGGAGCTAAGGCTTAATTGTTATAGTTGTAAGATTATAGAGGAATACAAGTAAGAAAAAGAGAAGAAGGTTACAAAATAGAAAGGTAGAGTCGAATTTTTTTTTTTTTTTTTTTTTTTTGAGGTTACAAAATAGAAGAAGGTAGAGCGAATTTTTGTTTTTTTTTGTTTTTTCCTTTTTAAAACTTATTTTCATTTGATAGGGGCAACGCATTCACTAACGTAATGTTAAGATGAGAATTTTTTTTTTTTTTTTTTTTCCTTTTTAAAACTTATTTCATTTGGATAGGCACCATTCACTAACTAATTTAATGAGTAGTTCCCATGATAGTTTATTAAGAGTAAATTTTTTTAAAATAAATTGTACCCACAAAAATTGTAATAAATATATTTTTTTAGTGCTATACTATTATTTCCGATCACCAGATTCCAATTAAATGACTCCCCATTCAAACAAAAAACCAAAGTTTAGCATCTAAAAAATGATGAATTGAAGTTGTGTGTGACCTTAATAAAATTAAGTGCAAAGTTTGATAAATATACCTTGGGCATTAAATAAAAAAGACAGGTTGGCTGTTTTAATGATCTGCCTTGAAAGGACACCTTATGAAGCAAGACAACAATCATAAGGTGCAAAGTCATGTTCCGAAGGTTCGAGTTCTATCAATTACTCCCTCCATCCACAAACATAAGTCATTTAAGGCTTTTGCAAAATGATTTAAAAAGTAACTAATTCTCCTACATTATAGCAAAATTTCATTAATTTGACTAAATACCTTTTATCTCGTATCATTGATTTAACTAAAGATAGTTTTAGAAAATTGTAGAAATAGGTAATGCATACAATACATATAAGGATAAAATTGGAAAATGTTCATTAATTACTTCTTGATAGTTAATATTCTCAACGATTTATATTTGTAGACAGAGGAAGTATATCATAGATAGCGAAGGCAATAAGGGACTTTTCTCCTATTGTGAAGAGGCACTTTATCAGAGTAATCCCCTTTGGAATGGTGGATGCTCTAGACCTGGCCGAGGGCTGGCTACAAAATGGACTTTCTGGGAGCTGCCCCGGGCTGGAACCACAGTCCCACAGTTCAAAACCAGACCAAACTGGCAAAACAAAAAAAAAAAAAAAAAAAAAAAAAAAAAAAAAAAAAAAGAGGAAAACGAGAACTGGCTGGAAGGATACTGCTATAGTATAAGATAATTGAAGAGGAAAACGTCTAAGCAAAACCAAGTTTCGACGGAAGAGCAATAGCAATGCGTTTCTGAAGCCTGAAATCATGGTGCAAGTTCATCTAGAAACGGAAGGATCTGACAGGAACAAGAAAGTGGTTGTGGCAGTAAAAAAGCAAGCGTCGAACTTTTTCAGGTAATGAAGTTGTTGCAGGTCCCTTAATACGGAATTGCTCTCTATGATGTGTTTGATGTAAGCTAGAATATCTAAACTAATGAAGACTGAAGCGCAGTGGGCTACTCCCAGTCAAGAAGAAACAAGCAGTAGTGATACAGTTTAAAAAAAAAAAAAAAAAAAAAAAAAAAAAAAAAAGAGGAAAACAGAACTGGCTGGAAGGATACTCTATATATAAGCTAATTGAAAGGAAAACGTCTAACAAAACAGTTCTGCGGAAGAGCATACATGCTTCTGAACCTGAAATCATGTGCAAGTTCATCTAGAAACGGAGGATCTACAGAACAAGAAAGTGTTGTGCAGTACAAAAGCACTCAACTTTTTCAGGTAATGAAGTTGTCAGGTCCTTAATACGGAATTCTCTCTATATGTGTTATGTAACAGAATATCTAAACTACATGAAGACTACCAAGTGGCTACTCCCAGTCAAAAGAAACAGCAGTTAGTGATACAGTTGGTTCCAATGTCTTGCCGGTCTGCTAAATATTCTAAGGGTCTATTTCAATACATGTTTGTATGGATATAGCTTTAAGTGGCTGGCTGTGAGCAATATCGATGATGACTTTCTTCTATAAGAAGCACATTAGCCCCTCCATGGCAAATCAAATGAGTAGCTTATGACATAAAAGCTCTATCACATAAAAAGCAGGGAGATATGGATTCAAAAATGACTTGAAATTATAAAAGTTTGGAGAAGAAGAACTCCCAAGATTAGATATCGTTAAGCATGCACGTGGGATACCACATGGGTGAAGATGCACAAAATTCATTCAAAAAATTATAATTGTTGAGTGGGATCTGCTAATGCAATTTTAATAAAAGGGTCAAAACAAATTAGAAGATTTACCGCATGGTCAAGATGTGAAACAGTGCTAGACTGAGCAAGGCGTTTGATTTCTTCAATATCACCTTCCCTATAAGCAGAAAGTAGTTTAGTAGCACACCTATTCTGGTCGCTGCTCAAAAAGGCATCAATCCTGCAAAAAGCCAAAAGCGGCACGTGAAATCATTAGAAATCTTTTATTTCCAATGAGGGGGAAAAAATGCAATGTAGAAAAAAAAAAAAAGTATTAATTATTATACTCAAAGAAAGAGTTGATCATTCCACACAAGAGTGACAAAAAGGTTCTTTACACATATTTAAGTTAACTTATAGATACAGAGCCACCAAGATAACGGACTTACATGAAAGTATCCTAACATAAAAATTTGAAAATTTTGCACAAGTTAAAGCAACGTAACTATCAAGTGATTATACTTTAACCATCAAGTGATTGTACAAATTTGAACCTCTATGGTAAACTGTTCCGCATTCTCAAGGACCAAGAATGAAGAAGCATCTAGTGTTTCCTCACATTCACACATTTCTTGAGATTCTTTAGAAATATTTACACAGTCAATTTAAACTAGTCCAGCAAAGATGAGAGAAGCAAAAGTAAAGTATTTGCTCTTGGTGCCTTGTTGTTATTTGCTGAGCAATTGCCAAATTGAGTATCATGAAATTTGGTAAAAAGAATGAAATATATTGGTTTCTGCAGCTACAATTTCGCCATGCAACTGTCTGCAAGTTGAATTGCATGATTGCACTTTTAACTTTTGAAAAATAAAAAGGAGCATGTGGCACAGTTAGAGAAATTGGTGGAAGAAGAGAATCACACAGCTCTGCAAATAGTTCTTGAAAGGTAATTGATATGTTGCTACTACTAGGTAGTAAAAGGACTTTATGGAGAAATTTCTCCACACAACTCCTACAACTTCAAAAAACAGTACAAAGCTGCTGCAGATATAAGGATATACACTTAAGAATGATACTATGAGTAGACTTGATTTTAGAAGTTTCTTAGCAATTAGAGAACATGCTTGACATTTATGCAAGACATTTAAGATGTATCATGAAGGTGAATTCAGAAAGCCACAAAGTTTAATTTTGTTTCATTATTTCACACAGTCATTCACTACTTCTTGAGGGCTATGTCGACCCTAGAGGTATCCACTATTGGTAGAAATCAGCAAAAATTTAAACAAATCACTGTTTGCCAAGGGACGCCAAGAGAAAAGTTTACTTACTGTGCACAATCATTGTAGCACTTTTCTGCTTGCTTGAGATCATGAGCATAAAGATAAACTATAATTGCACCAAGATATGCCTGAAATCAACAAAGGAATGGAAGAGATGAAGTCTGATGGATAAACAAATAAACATACAAGTTATGAAAAATTTCAGATACACATGGAAATTAGTGTCATAGTTGAAGTAACTTGTGTGTTTGTCAAATAGAGAAAAAGAATGAAAAATGAAATAGACTAAAAGAAGTAGAAAAACTAAAAAGAGTTCACACTTTGCACTGGCTATTGGTAGCATTGCATTTGTCCGCTGCTAGACCCAATCTCAACAAGATAGCTGCAGCATCTGTATACCTGTATGCATTCACAGCATAATTAACAACCATCCTTATATGTTCATCATAAGAATGTATGCGTTCACCCTCATGAGAACATGACACAATATCATTTATTAAAAGAGCAAACAATAAATCTGCACTGTATACTTGCAGTCAAAATCAACATTTGATGGCAAGTAAATACTGCCAGAAAGATGAATGTTCCATTGCTAGAGAAACCAAAATGGAAAAATAGGGATTAGCACGCACAAAAAGTACGAAGCATTATCAACACCACAACCTCATCAGGGCATGGTTATACAAATGTTATCTTGGTATGTGTACGAGCACCAAGACAGTGGAAATATGAAGCACCAGATTAGGAGAATGAAAATGTCTTGAAGACAATTATTATATTGCAAAGAAATGTATATTTAGGGTTAAAGAAATGACCTCATTTATCTTATCATCAACTACCCAATAACTTCAAAGTTTGAGAAAGTCCTAGTCAATAAAGCCCACTCCTATGGTTGTAACAAGCATCTTTCTTAGCCACTCTAAATCACACGTTCAAGATATGTCTCCATTCATGAATCAAAATAAGGAATGAGGGTAAAAGTGATATCTTCCAAAGTATAACTAAATACTCCATACTGAAAGTAGACTTTTCCCCCATCCATATAGTGAAACCCCAAAAATGTCCCTGTCTTTCCGCCAATTTATCACAAGTAGGGAGTGTAAATGAGTGACTCTACTCATGAGCTACTCGGACTTGACTTGAAAAATAGGTGAATTCAACTCGGATTTAATCAAATCAAGCTCAAACTCAAGTAGCCAAGCAGAGTTCGAATATTATAATAAGTAACTTGAATGGCTCGCGAGCTCAACCAAGCATTTAAATTTTCAATTTATTTTATATACTTTATATAATATTTAAATACTAACTTGCTGAGCTTGAACTCAAGCTTATCTGAGTTTATTCAAACTTTACTTATTTTATCATTTCAGACCTCAAGTTTTCTGACCAAATCAACCTTGAGTTTAGCACTGTATCAAGCTCAACTTGGCTCCGTTGCATCCCTAATCACAAGGGGTATTTTCAATCGCCATTCAATAAAAAGCAAGAGTATTTTTGTAGCAAATATGCTTGTTGGAGTTTAAAGTAGTAGATCATTCGACACAAATTGATGCATGAAAATCAACTAGGTAGCTCATATGTGTGTGAGTGTGTGTGCGCGCGCGCGCATATACATTCTGAGAAAACCACTAGAAGTAAGCATGGAGCATCTATGTGATTATCAATTTTTAATATAGAAAGCAAAATAAAGGAAATGAGGAATCACTTTCAGCACTCAATCAGACCAGTAAAAGTTTAATTTGGTCATCTTAATGTATCCTATTCCCAATGGAAAAAGTAACCCTTACTTCTCAAGCTTTATATAAACACTAATGGCAGCACGGTATAGATCAAACGCCATTTGTTCCTTGCCATCCTCTTCAAGAATAACACAAGCATCAGTATACAGTTGAACAGCAACATCAGGCATAGCATCTTCTAGAGCACTGTGAAATTTAAAGATATACTTTTAATTAGGTTGCAAAGACAATCTGATTTGACAAAGGTGTTAACACTGAGCTTTCTAAAGCCATTTCCAGAGCCAATAGTTTTGCACTACAAGAAGAAAGCACTAAGAATAATATGGCGAAAACATACAATTTACTCAAAATTTGGGATACAAGCACAAACACAACAGATAGACAGGCCTCCATACATGTTGATTTAAGTATATATTGGTAACAGAAATTCTTTTACATAAAAAGTTAGGTAACTGATTACTATTAATAATTTGGGTCATGTTATATAGCACAAATGTAAGGCATGATGTGTTTTTTTGGGTTAAGCAAAAAGGAAGGAAGAGTAAACTCTTTCACCCAGGAGACAACCAAACATATCTACGTGCAGACGTGGATCCATATAAACACATAAGGGGTGGAGGAAGAGGGTGAAGGAGTCCTTGTAAAATTGTGAACCCATGATCCTATCTGCAGATTGCACTAAACATAGAATGCCTAGCAAGTTAATATTATGTGACAAGACATCCCCTAAATTTTATTGGTTAAATTATATATTTAAAGAGCATTTTTTACTGTTACAGTTGATAAGCAAATTGAGACGCAAAATAAAATGCAAGAATGCAATAAATAAGTCCATAGATTTCCCTTTTTAAGCCCTTTGGGCCTAGCACTATACAGCAAACAGGATTGCCCCCACATTGCAGTAGTTTGAACTAAAGCATATAAGACCAGACAGAATCATACATGAAAATTCATAGAGCACTTCAGCTTTATGTTTAACTTTCAAAACAACCTTATCTGCTAGTTCCTAGTATTAATCTTTTGATGTCTCAAATAATGAAGAATGTAAGAACTAAAATTGTACATGACAAGAGCATAAACTGTGTTTACCGTGCAGCCTTCGCTAGAGCATCTGATGCAGGTTGTGATCTCCCACACTCAATATACAGCTCAGATGCCCTTCTATAAAGATCAGCAACTTCATTCCAGTTGCCTAGTTCCTTTGCTAGAGCAGCAGCAGACTCCATATGCTTAGCAGCATCCCAGGGGCTATATACTCATAAAGGATATAACAAGAGGCAAATTCATGTACACTCAAAACAAGAAATACAGTAGTAGCTAAACTGAATTGAGGATACGAGGAGATTATCTCTTGACCCTTGGAAGCCATTTCAAATGCTGCTTTTGCTTTCTCATATTTCTTGGCAACCCTAAAACTGTTAGCTACAGCAGAACCACCATTAGTTAAGAATCCCTCTAAAGGCATGATTCTTATTTAATATTAAATTTTATTAACTGCTAGGATGCCTGCCACTCCATTAAGCTAATAATCTCAAAGTCATCAAATGAACAAGAAATTACTAACCAGCTTGCTCATACAGAAGAGTGGCACTTTTCCAATCAGCACTCCACCTTGTGAGACTCAATTTTGTTCTAAAAAGAAGACAAGTAAAATTTTTAATATGCAATAAAAGAGAAAAAAAGTAGCATCACAAAATAAAGCACTTCCTAATTATATAATAAAAAAGAAAAACATATAATTGAAATAACTCTCACAACCTTCAATAATTTTAAGGAAAAAAAAAGTATGATCACAATTTAAGCACATGGAAGCAATAAAGTCAAGAAAGATGAACTATTATGCCATTGAACTTAAATTTCAGCAATACACATATTCACTAATAGCGATCAACAACTAATCAAGCAGTTCTCTCTCCCTTCTTCATCACATTTGGTTTTATAATTCCAGTGGCATCTTCAATCAAATCAGTTCAAAGTTAATAACATCATAATATTGATCAATTTCAAACTCAAATATCTCAATAAGTAATGAACAATACCTTTCCTACGTACAAATCAGAAACAAAATCATAATTTCAAAACAAAAATCCTAAGCAGAGCAGAAGTTAACACATAATCTACTATGAGTTAACTACCAGAATCAAGCGAAGCTATTACTTACATAAATTTAAAAAAATTGGAAAAATGTCATTCTTACATGCTTTTATTTTCTAAATTTAAAATAAATAAAAAAGAAAATAATGCATTTGCTGTGGCCATTGTCAATCTAACAAAATTGGAATAAATTCACATACAGGATCATTTCTGCTCACAAAAGAGATTCGATCGTTCGTTTACAGAGAGAGAAACGACTTACAGCTTATCGGCCTTGGCAATCAACTTCTCGGGATCGGAAGAAGACATGGCGGTGCAGAAACAGAAACCGGTGCTTCTTTCTTTCTATTGTTTTTGCTCAGAGTGGTAAGCAGGTAGGTGAAAGCCGTAGCGAAGCAAACGCTAACCAAGCAGCGTCACAGAGCTGGATCCGGGTTATGTTTAGATATTACGTACGGTTTGATTTCCGTTTCTGTGATTTACGGTTGATTCTCATCCAACGGTCGTTCTGCTTTGGCACAATGGCACGTACTGTTTCGGAGATTTTCCGTTTTTAAGGACTTAGCGAGTCAAGCCTCTCAGAAGAGCTATTTGAGAGTTGCTTCTAAAAAAGTTTAATGAGGGAAAGCTGAACACGAACCAACTTTATTAAGCTCGTGTATTAAACGAACTACACTAAAATTGGAGTTTGAGCCTTGAAAAAACAAGTCACACTTTCTCTCCGTAACAACCATTCAACGCGGAAATTCACTTATTATTAATTCAGATTTACGTCGAAATTAACTTATTCAGTTAATTTAGATTTACGCCGAATAAATTTAAAATATATTAATAAACCAAGCTCAAAGTTAACATATCCCATTGAATTTTTTTTATTTACAGCTCTAAGAATGTCTCACAAAATAAATATAATTTATTTTATCATTTATAAGAATATTAAAAATAAATATATTTATATTAATATTGTTTAAGGTCTTATCGGTCTTAAAAATTTAAACCAATTAAAAACTCCACGTCCAAACCTCAAACACGATTAAATTCCAAAACTAATCCATTTTCCAAAGTGATGTTTGGTTAAGTTAAGATTAGATGAGACTCAAAGATTAAATCTCATATTCAAATTTAGGATTTTGTATCCATCAAGATTAGATTACTCATAATTAAAATGTGAAAAGCTCTATACAAAGATTAAGATGGTACTAGGTAGTAGTCAAAGTCAAATCAATGCCATGGATGCATGCACAAGATTTGGATTCAAATTATTAGGTTCATATTAGAAATTCCCATGCAATCCATGAACACTAACCACCACCATCCCCACATGATAACTAATTTCTTATTTCTCCATCTATATATACACATAAAAAATATCAATATAGCCATCAAAACCCATTAGCACCATTTTTATTTCTAAAGCTTGATTAATTATCTAATGGCTTTAAAATTTACCTTTGTCCTCCACTTATTGCTTACCCTTGCTTTCTTATCCATTTGCAATTCTCCCTTATGCATATGCTCTCGAATTTTACTTAATCTAAGAAAACTATCAACTATACAAGTTGGAGTTGATCCACCTTTTTTTCTTGAACCAATTTTTCCAGTACCGAAAGACGATGCTCAAACTACATTTCCATCTTTTGAAATGATGGCACCACCGCCTCCGTCACCGCCACCACCGTCACCGCCGCCGCCTCCGCCTCCGCCTCCTCCTCCTCCTCCGCTAATTAGCCCAATTATGGCTAATTCTACTCCTCCAATAACTCTAACGTTTCCTAATTTGCCTTCGATTCCTAATTTTCCTCCTTTTCCGTTCATTCCCACCAGGCCTTCTATTCCTTCCTTTCCTTTGCCTTCAAGCCTCACTTCAGTAAACAACACTGAAGGAGTTAACCCATAAACCTATCATACACATATAGCATGTTCAAGTATATTAATCGAATGTTATGATCATTATATTTTTATTCAATAAATTTTATGTGCGGCCTTATATATATATATGGTGTGAAAATAACTTCATGGAATTATTGTAGTTAATTATTATATAATTGTGAAAAATAATAATAGCAATATTTTCTTTATAAGCAAATATAGTAATTATTGATATTATATGGTGTGCATGAGCATATTGCAATTTCTTTTATTGTGTTACTGGATAGCTTCTATTTACAATGTAGATCACAATTAATTAAAGTTCAAATAAATTAATTAAATTAATATCATTAGGATTGAATTTGTGAAATTACACAGTTTAATTAAAATAAAATAAAATACAGAAACCAGACTAACCATTATATTATTTTTTTTCTTGTAATGAATGTGAAAATTGCTAGGGCATTATAACTTATAAGAGGTTTCATGACCGATAGATCTGGCTAATGTATTTTAAAAATTAATGCGATGAGTGAAAAATTCTGAAATCGAATTGAAATCTTTCTCACATTATTAATTCACCGGTATCTGTAAATATCAACCAAAAACTCATCAAGAATATCAAACATTACGAGGGTAACAACCAACAACCATTTTTCAGCATATTTCAAAAGCCATATATCATGAAAATTGATCAAAAAGTTTTTCTTTTCTAGACTAAGAAACAGCTCATATGCAAGAAAGCAGAGGCAAATCTAGAAAAAAAAAAATTATGGGGTCAACATATAAAAATATAATAAAAAAAGGATTAATTTTGAATTTTAAGATGAGTCAATTGGAAAAAATACATTAATATCAAAAGGGGATTAAGAAAAAAAAAAAAAAAAAAAACCCATCATACCATTCCACCCCTACCGCCCGATTCGGCCCGGGCACCTTCCTTCTTTGCTCTTTTTTGTGCTGGCCCTCACTGAAATATAGCATGTTCAAGTATATTATCGAAATGTTAATGATCCTGATATTTTTACTTCACAATAAATTTTTATGTGCGGGCCCTATATATATATATGGTGAGCACAAAATAACTTCATGGAATTAATTGTTACGTCTAATTAATTATACTAAATTCGTTGAAACAATAATATAATAGCAATGAGTTTCTTTATAATGGTCAAAATACTAGACTAACTTATTTTTGATATTATCGCATGGTGTGCATGACGCATAATTTTGCAATTTCTTTATTGTGTTTACTGGATATGCTTCTATTTAGCAATGTTTACGATCACGAATTAAATTAAAGTTCAACATAAATTAATTAAATTAAATATCATTAGGATTTGGATTTGTTGAAATTACACAGTTCTATCTAAATAAAATAAAAATAATCCGATAAACCAGAACTAGACACTTATACGCTTCCATACTCTTATTTTTTTCTTGTAGACTCGAAGATGGTGAAGATTGCTTAAGGGCCCTTAATAGCCTAACTTTTATAAGAGGTTTAATGCACCGATTAGACTCTGGCTAATGTATTTTATAAAATCTCACTGCGTATGAGTGAACAATTTCCTGAAAAACGATCAAATTGGAACATTGTCTACACATTGATTAGATTCACCACATCCCGTTAGTCTGATAATACTTCAAAACTCAATAAACCTTCCAAAATCAGAATATCAAACACATTACAGAGGGTAAACTAAACCAACAACCATTTTTTTCAAGCAAATAATTATTCAAAAGCCATTAATCATCGAAAATTGATCAAAAAAGTTTTTCTTTTTTTTCTAGACTAAGAAACAGCTCAATATGCAAGAAAAGCAGAGGGCAAATCTAGAAAAACCATAAAATATGCATCCACTATATTTTAATTCATAAAAATACTTAATTAAAAAGAGGAATTTAATTTTGAATTTTAACGATGAGTCAATTGAGCGAGAAAATATCATTTAACTCTAAATTGCCGTCAAAAGGGTGATTAAAGAAAAAAAAAAAAAAAAAAAAAAAAACGATCAATTGACTCCTTTTTATGCTATACAACTGCCGCTGTCAGTAAATCTGCATTGCTTTAGTTGAGATGCCTACTTAGTTATATAATGGGAAGACTTGTAATTAATAACCGATATTAATTAAAGGAAAAATTACAGCACGATTTTTGTGTTTTGCGAAATACAACTAGTTTATCCCTATCTTTTAGAAAATAGACTAAAATATCCTTATAGTTTACTTCCGTCGTACTATAAGGTCCTTTCATCTAATTTTTCCATGTTTTCCTTTAAGTACCTTATGAAAAGACGAAAATTTCCCTTTTGTTTTAAAAAATATAGAGATGAACTAATTGTATTTTTCAAACCATAGGGACTGCACTATAATTTTTCTAATATAATATTTTAGTATCTCTCCTTTCATTTCTGTGTTTTCTCGTTGACTTCACGAAAAGATGCAAAAATTAGATAAAATGACCTAATAGTGTGACAAAAGCAAAATATAGAGACAAATTAATATATTTAAAAAAAAAACAGAGACAAACTAGTTGTATTTCCCGAACTATAAGGACCGTATTGTAATTTTTGCTTAATTAAATTGTTAAATTTGAGTGGTTTTGTCATAATTTATTTAAGATATATATATATATTCATGATACCCGAAGAAAAAAATTAGATTTAGAGTAGAATTAAAATAACCCACAAAATTGGGGATTTTTTTCCATGATTTGGCAGTATATATTATATTATAATACCAACGTATAAAGAAAAAAAGTGGTCTAATACATAATTTAGTCTTTGGAGTTTAAAAAAAAAAAAAAAAAAAAAAAATATAATAACATAAAGACATCCCATAGTATGTATAATTACGAGACTATTATAGTGACCGTATTGTATATTTATTTTGCTTAATTAAAATTGTTAATTTGTTAGTGGTTTTGTCATAATTGGGTATTTAATGATATAGTAATATATGTAAATTTGCATTTCTCTTTTTTCTATGTGGATGAGTTCCACTGAAGAAAGAGAGAGAAGGATTTGAGTAGGTAGAGCCATTTTTATCAAATTCACCCACAACTTTGGGGTTAGATTTTTTTCCCCTAGATTGGGCAAGTATATAATATGTTCAATATATATAAATACCTACGTATATTATTTTAATAAGAAAAAAAGTGGATCTATAATTAAGTGTAGTCTTTGTGAGTTTGAATAGAAGGAAAAATATAAAAAACAAAGCGTTTGTGACACTCTATAACTGAATTTTTAAATTTGCTACTTAGTGTCATTACAATGAGAACCAATCCATTTTGAAAAACTATCTTTACACATTCCTCGTCGTATTCTGATACGATTTTTTCCCTTTGCAACACATAAGATTTTTATTAGGTTGATTATTGGTTTTATGGAGGTGTGAAAAATATATTTGATTTAAATGGTTATTTTTTTATAGAAATTAATATGATTCAATTATAGGCACTCTTTGGATAATTCTTGAATGAGACCTTTATTTGTTATTATTTTTTCACTTATAACAATAATTGTTAATTATACTCGATTTCAATTAGAGATTGGAAGTAGTCACAATTCTTAGAAAGAGATAAATCACACATACTGTGTGAAAATAATGCTGTAATTTTTTAATTAAAGTTAAGAATTATGTCTAACATAGACTGTTATAACTGAAAATATGAAATAGAACTAAGCACAGAACGTTCTTCGATAGAAAATAAAATATAAAGGAGTCCTCAGTAAAAGTGTATATGTATTGAGACGTCTA